CCACCACCTAGATGGCTTGGAGCAGCGGAGGAGCTTTGGCACGAGTTGGTGATTGTTCGCGGTCATCTCCCCGTTATTTGTGAGGGATTCTTGGGCTTATTCCCCAGCGGAGCGCCAAAAGCCACTCTAGTAAATTGCTCGTGACATTGAGCGTCTTCATCTTGTGTTGGTTGTGCAGCACCCTAGTGAGGGTTAGGCGTGTGATGCATATAAGCGCGTGAACCTCCAAGTGAGTGACCGTCACAACGGGGACTAGCTTGCCGGCAAGCAAGTGAACCTCGGGATAAATCTTTGTCTCTTGGTATTCATATTGTGATTGATCCCTTGTCGGTTCGGTATCACACACTCTACTCTCTCTCTCTTGTATTTACTTTGATATACTTGTGTAGTTGAGTAGTGCTTTCTTGCTAGTCTTGTGTAGCTAGTTTAGTTAACTAGAAGTAATTAGTTGTAACTAGCTCTCTAGGTTGCTCACTAGAGTAGAATTAGTGACATAGACTTGTGTGTGTCATACAGATCATACTTGACTAGTATATTGGATAGGTGGCTTGCATCACTTGTTAGAGCTAGTGCAAAAATCTTTATAGCCATTTATCTGTCTAACAAGTTTGATTGGTGGTTTGTAGAAATTTTATTTAGGCTATTCACCCCCCTCTAACCAATTAGGACCTTTCACTCTGACGGCACCAGAAATTAGCGGCAAAATGTTGCATGCGCCATCTGTGCACTAGAGGTGGGAACCCTTCAAGATGTTCTTCTGTAGCATTAAGTAGCCCGATATGCGACGAGCAAGGTAACGAGCCATGAGCTGAGCATGATTTTCCTACCCCTTGTTTTGACAAGAAGGTGTGGGGTTGGACCACTTTAGTTATCCTCCACTTGCCATCGCTCTCTTTCTTTCGAGCATTTAACCTCCACAGACAACATGCCTTGCATATCACGTGGTAAAGCAACTCCTTGTTGGAATGAGTGACAGTGTAGGGCCTATGGTGGTATACAACATAGTCCTGAAGAAATAGCTTCAGCTCAGACATTGTACTGAATACCATCCCCTTGCTAAGGATTTCTTTCTCATGGTCGTACAATGATTTCCTACACATCTGTAGGCCGGTGTCACAAACTGCCATATCCATCATGCTGACATCCCTGTAGTTGGAAACACCACGAAAAGGTACGCTCACCGACCTCAGCTGCATCAGCTCTGTCGCTGTGTAAGGTTTTGTTGGAACGTACTGTTGTGCTTCGCTCAACCTAACCCATAAATCATAGGGGGTAGCATCCTCTGGCTCATCTCTGACTAACCTCCCATGAACCGGCATAGCATGTTGTACTTGAATAGGACCTAGCACATCTGTGACTAATCTCCTCTGAACGAGTAGCGCCATAGCATCTCTGCCTCATTACTCATCGTCCGAATCATATGAATCATTGCTAACTACATCACCAATCCTTTCCTCCTCCTCCTGCTCCTCCTCTTCCCGCTCGAACTCATCCACATCAAAGTCATTGTTTATACGGCCTACTGACAACCGCCTAGAATCATCGACTGCCATTGGAGAGGAATGAATCTTCTCCTGCGTCAACTGTCCGTCCAAATGCATATTCCCTGGAGTTGCGTCCACATCAACCCCCATTCATGTTCATCTCCTACAACGTCGTCAAAGGACAGCCCGTCCTACACATCCTGAATCATGTAACCATTCTCCACCACAACCTCAGCCACGGTCACATTTGGCCCTTGGATTACCCTTGTGTTGCGGGATCAGTGAGCCTAGCCGCGCAAGGGCATTAGGATGTAGTGTGCCCTAGTCTTCCCACTATCAAACATCCCCTTCAGTATGAAATCACCATCAATCTTTTCCTTCACTCACAAAAAAAGGCCGCTGAAGCTTGGGGGATCATCAAACATTTCTGACTCTACTTCCATATCCTCAAACAAACCATCTTCTTTCCTAACACTTCCTCCATAAAAAACGAACTAAACAATCCATCTACAAAAGCATTTGAGGAAACTTCATCAAGTCTTCGAAATCAGGTACCGCATCCAACTAATTATAACCTAAAGGAAACACTAAACCTTGCAATATTTAACCTAACCAACTAATTATCCTGACACTACAAACTAAATTACCTATACTAAGTGATGTGACTAAACTAACTAATCAAACTATACTAAAATACCTAACTAATCTAAGTAACTAACTATAATAACCTAAGTAGCTAATCTAACTAACTACACTAACCTATACTAATCGAAACAAACTAAATAATGCTACAAACCCTAAATACCAAGCATTTTTCTTTTCAAATCACCATGCAAATAACCAAATCGAGACGGGGAGTACTTTGCCTACGAAGAAGAGAGGCTAGGGGTCACCCCTGCCCACGAGAAGCAGACGAGATGGCCGCCGGCAGCAATGGCCGGCTGTCAGCGGGCGACTGCAGCGGAGAACGTGGGCGAGGGAGGCAGAGAGTGGGCGGCTGAGGGGAGGGAGGGGCAGCGAGCGCCGCTGAGGGGAGGGAGGGAGAGACGGGGCGCCGGACAGGGAGGGGCCAACGGTGGCGGGGGTGGGCCATGGCAGGCAGACGCGGGTGGCTGTGGGTACGGCTCGATCTGGATCTGAAGTGAGGGAGAGAGAGGGAGGGAGCCTGACCGCGCCCCGTTATCAGGCGCTACCGCGCTATGCAGGTTGGCGCGGCACTACCGCACCGTAAAGGGTGGCGCGGCAGCCCCTGCCACACAAGCGTTAAGCGAGCCGGCTGCCTGCCACGGTGGCGGCCTTGCCGCGCCACCAGGCATGGCGCGACGGCATGAATTTGTTGCGCCATGACACTAGGTGCGTCCAAAAGTGTTAGTTAAAAAAATCATGTTAATTTAAAAATAGTACTAAAAAAGTGTTAAAATAAAAAAAATCTGAAAGTCAAGGTTCAGAATTTCGACCGGTTTTCCCCGAAAATCGGCTACTTTCGTTTCTTCCGGTAACTGGTAACTGTACATACCGGTAATTTTGATTCCATTTTGTTCAGTTTTTTTTTTCAAATTTAGCTAAAATTTCATGAAAATTTTAAATTTGGACCGAAATTTAAACCAATTTTCACGGATTTTCGCGATTTTCGTTTCTATCGCCGCCCTCCAGTATTTGTGTTTCAAACGGTAGACTGAACACTCGTGAAACCCGGCGGCACGATTGCAATGCCTGGTTTCCAATGAGGAGTCTGATCTGTATTCAATTTTTTGCGTGGGTTCCATGGAGGTGTCCGATCGGTATTCAATTTTTTGAACCTCGATGCGTCCACCGGTAGCCTCAACGTTTTGGGTCTGCCGTGGACGATTTCTCCGGAGGCTTATTATTTTCACCGGTTTTTGCGATTTTCGTTTCTATGGCCGCCCTCCTGTATTTGTGTTTCCACTGGTAGGCTGAACACTCGTGAAACCCGGCGGCACGCTTGCAATGCCTGGTTTCCAAGGAGTCCAATCTGTATTCAATTTTTTTGCCTGGTTTCCATGGAGGTGTCCGATCGGTATTCAATTTTTTGAACCTCGATGCATCCACCGGTAGCCTCAACGTTTTGGGTCTACCGTGGACGATTTCTCTGGAGTCTTATTAGGTGTAGATGTAGAAGAGAAGAGATAGATCCCCTCAAGCCTAGCCGACCGATCTCATGCCTCTCGGTCCCGGGGGTGCATTGGGAGAAATTCTCTTGTCACGCAGGGACGACACCGGCACCGGCACCTTCGTTCCCGGTGAGGCAAGCGACCACTTCGCATAGATATACAGCATGGACCAGGCAAGAAATTTTGATATTTAACCCTCAATACGCAAGCCTCTCTAGATTTAACATCTAATTCGTAAGCCTTTGAAAATTTAACCCTGATATTAGGGATTTCTCTCTATTTTTCTCATTTTCTATATTTAATAATTTCTTCTCTTTACACCGGCCATGGGGAAAGCCTAAACTACCCCTGCCTCCTATCAGGACAGAACTGGAGTCGCTCGGCGAGCGAGTCGCGACTCGCGCCCCCCGCCCAGGCTTCTCCCGCTCCGGCCACCTCCACCGCGCACCTCCGGCCACCGCCGCCCACCCAACCTTCTTCGAATCCGGCCAGCTCCACCGCCCGCCGCCGGCCATCTTGACCGCCCGCCTCCGACCACCGCCGCCCGCTCGCCCGCCTAGGCGTCTCCGACTCCGGCCACCTCCACCGCCTGCCTTCGGCCACCTCCTCCGGCTAGCGCGTTTGCCAACCACGTCTACCACCCGTTAGGCCCTGCCCGACTCTAGGGTTTGGGCGACGACGTCCACCGGGTGACGCTCCACTGGCTGACACCGGACGGGGCAACGGCGCCGCCCTCCGCCGGCCGGGGACATGCCTGCGCCGCCCTCCAGGTCTTTTTTCGGTGGAGGGGTATTCTAGTCTTTTCCCATGGCATGAGTAGTGTGAAGACATTATTAAAAATAGAAAATGAAAGAAATCCCTAATATCAAAACAATTCACGTATTCAGGGTCAAATTTGTAAAAGCTTACGAGAGAGTTTTGTGAACTTAGGTTAAATATCAAAATTTGTCGGGCCAGGCCGGCCTAAAAAGGCCCGTGCGTTTTCAGTGCTTTTCTTCTCCCGGCTCCCGCTCCCCCTCGTGCGAGCGCGCCGTCTCTCGTGCCGACACCTGGGCGACCGCCGCCGCCGCCCTACGCTAGGTACCCAGGTCTTCGTCGGGCACTTCGTGGCGACGAGCACCCACCAGGCATGCTCATCCCTTCTCTTCCTTCCTGCTGTGCGAACTGCGAACCGAACACCCGAACCCTAGACTTAAGCTATTTGGCTATTTGAATTCGTATCTGAATCTAATTGCAAGTGTATACAAGTATTATGCATACTAACCCATGTCCATTTCTGGGTCCGCCCCTGCTTAAGGCTTTGCTTTGTTTCAAGGATGTCCGATGTGAGGAACAGAACTTGTTCATTGTTCTACTAGAATTTAACACCTGTTCGACTGACAGGATGTCCAATGTGAGCGTGTGCGTGCGGTTCAGACCGCTGAGTCACAAGGAGAGGAAGGCCAATGGTGACAAGGTCTACTTCAAGAAACTGGACTCGGAGTCTTTTGTTTTCAAGGTCTGGACTGGACCCTCTTCAGCCTGCTGCTTCCTTTACCTTTCACGGATAAAATGCATGTGGTGATGTTTCTGGTGGGATTCACTGTTCTGTTCCTGTATTGCACAACGCAACTTTCTAGATCAATCAATTTACTGAATTGGTTGACAGTTCTCGTGACCACGCCCTTCTGAACATTAACCCGTTTAAGCATCGCCCTACACAATTATGCTGTAGGGAGTAGGGACTATGAGCAAGAGCGGAATCAGGATCTAGTGAACTGAGGATCAAACACGCACTCTGTTTGTTCTGTGTTAGCTGGATTCATCATCATTTTCGCTGTGATCTTATTGGTGTGAGTGACATTTCAATGCTTTTGCTTCTAATGTATTGGCAAACTCTTGAATTAGGATGAGAGGGAAGAAGATGTCATATTCAGTTTTGACAAGGTGTTCTATGAAGATGCGCAACAGTCTGATGTCTACAACTTCCTTGCAGTGCCCATTGTTTCAGGTTTTGTTTTTTCTGTTTCCTTCTAGATTTGTTCTTCAAGATAGTCAAAGCTGTTTCTTATCACTATGCTTTTATCATAACTAGATTATCTAATAGCCATTTTCCATATTCTGGAAACAGATGCCATCAATGGAATAAATGGGACTATAATTACTTATGGTCAGGTATCTATTGCTTCATACACATACACACTGTACCCTGATTGACCAGTTGACAGTTGTACACTTGTTTTACTGCACATGATGTATATGTGTATCCACTTATTTTTTTCCCTCAAAGCAATGCTTGTTGTATTGCAACTTTCCAATTTACTGTAGACAGTCATAATTTACAGAGCACCTATGATCAATGTCTTAGCGATCAACTTTTAACCATACTGACATTTATTTCAAATTTGCATTTGCATGTGTCTAGACTGGGGCGGGAAAGACGTATAGCATGGAGGTAAATTAAATGTCCTTGAGCTTTAATTTATGGGATAATTACTGATCGTGTGTCTTCAGTCTTGACCTTACACATTTATGTAATTTTGAATGTAATAACATAGGGGCCAAGCATCTTGCATTGCAATGAACAGAAAACTGGACTAGTACAGCGAGTTGTGGATGAGCTTTTTGTATGTTTAGGATCATCAGCAAGCACGTGGACTGTGAAGCTGTCAATGGTATCATACTATCCTCATGCCGATTTAGAATCCACATTGCTTGTTTTTTTCCTTAAGTTTTTAGGTTTTCTTAATAGTAAAATAAGTTGATTTACCATGTCTCAGGTGGAGATATATTTGGAAAAAGTTAGGTGAGTATTTGGTAGAGAATTTCTCATGCTTTCCTCTTTATGAATGGTTTTTGTAGTGCTGCTATGGAGAGGATCAACTTTCATCTGTTCTTATCTCAGGGACCTTCTTGACTTGTCCAAAGACAACCTGCAGATCAAGGAAAGTAAAACCCAAGGAATTTACATTTCTGGAGCAACAGAGGTCAGAATGAAGAACATGGCGCCTTCCTTTCATTCTATTTTTCTGTGATATTCAGAAAGAAGTACTTGTCATCAGGACCTTGATGCTTTCACTTTGATATCTGGTATCTGTTCAATTATCCCTGCAGATATCCATCCTGAATAGTTCAGATGCATTAGAAAACCTTTCTGTAAGTCTTCTTGAGCTTTATTTGGAGTGCCTTTCTATAAGCAGGTACAAAATTTAGCGTTTACCTGTCTAAATTACAGCAAGGAATTGCCAACAGAGCTGTTGGGGAAACACGTATCCTCTTTTTGTCAATCTAGATTCTAGAGTCCTGAAATAGTTATTTTAAATTTGATATGGTATGCCATCCTTAATGTAAACAGAGATGAACCTAGCTAGCAGTAGAAGTCACTGCTTATACATTTTCTCAGTACAATATGGATCCACTTCAGATGAGAGGTATGCCAAACATTAGAGTTACATAGCTCTATGTGAATTTATTAATGGGACAAAAACGGATGTTCATGTTGTATTCTGCATCATGGGCAGATCGTTCCCACAGACCATTCACAACCTTTGCAACATGCCAAAATTGGATAGGTTTTCAAGTTAATTCATGTATCATGTTATTTTTAAGCCCATTTATAACCTTCAATATTTTAATTTCATATGCTATTAATCAAGGCTGTATTATGCTAGTCCCCATTCTTGCTAAATATGCAATGGTTCCTGTGCAAATGCAATTCTCCTTTCTTGCTAGATTTCTTTCTCAGATGGTTGACTCTGATATTGCAAAGCAAACATAGTTTCATAGACTCATGTTACTGCAGTTATGAAGAAAATTATGCTATTGTCTGCAGTTCATAATTGCTTCTTACCCTTACAGGGTAACATCAGGGAAGATTATACTTGTTGACTTGGCTGGTTCTGAGAAAGTTGAGAAAACTGGTGCTGAAGGACGTGTTCTTGATGAGGCAAAGACAATCAACAAATCCCTCTCAGCTCTAGGAAATGTCATCAATGCCTTAACGACGGGTGAGGAGAAAAGGATCCTTTTTGGAAGGAACAAACTCAATAAAAAAGTAAACCTGCCATGTGTTTGTGATTAGCTTAACCTGCCATATTCTTTAACCTCCAGGTAAACAGAATCATGTGCCTTTCCGTGACTCAAAACTTACACGCATTCTTCAAGATGCGTTGGTTAGTCTAAAGTTTCTCCAGCTCGTTTTATTTTTTATTTTTGAAGAGAAGTATATTCAGGATTTCAATACCATGTGGCTGGCTAAACGCTACTGCTTGCTTGCAGGGTGGCAACTCAAGAGCGGCGTTGCTGTGCTGCTGTTCTCCCAGCCCATCGAATGCACCAGAGAGTCTGTCTACGCTTCGCTTTGGAACCAGGTATGCCAGTCAATCAGTCTCACACTTGTACTGCGCTGCCGTAATTCATTGCTCTCTTTGATAAATACCCTTTCAGGACAAAGCTCATAAAGGCTTCTCCCAAATTGATCCCTGAGGCAGTGGATAACACCAAGAAGCCCACCATCGAGACTCATGATCAAGACGATCTGCGCGACAGGATACTGAGCAAGGTCTGTAGCAATGAACCCGAGGCGATTGATTTTATTTTAGCCTACATTTCCCGTTTGTCAGCATCTTACTCTGAACCAAAACTTGTGTTCAGCTAAGGTTGAGCCTGAAGGAGGAGGATGTGGATTTGCTGGAAGAACTGTTCGTGCAGGAAGGCATCATCTTCGATCCCAATTCCGTCGCGGACTTCGACTCGTCGTGCCGGGACACTGCAAGCGAGGAGATCTCGTTGCTGATGCAAGCTGTGGAGGAGCTCAAAGAAACTGTGGAAGAGGTAGCGCCAAAACGTCCAAACCTCCATTCTGTCCGTTATTGCTGTTCTTGAATCTCGAGCAAGTTGCCCGCCTCGTGAATAATCAGGCTGCCTGCCGGGACACCAATGTGTTCTAACCCTGACTACGCGTTGCAGCTCACGGACGAGAACGAGAAGCTAAGGCGCAACCTCCAAGTCGCGCAGGAGATGACCGCTCAGGCCCAGCTTGCTGCGGCTGCCAACGCCGCCGGAGCTGCCTGGAGCCGTACTCTGCTTGATTTCGTGGCGGCGGTCCTCCTCCGGCCCTTTGGGTTTGTACCAGACTGACGACAGAGCCAATGCCCATTGTCCTGTGAAGAACCATGTCATACACTTAGATCATGGATTCATCGACCATGGAGGTACTGGTATCCTTGGAGGTTCAGCCTGTTTGTAATGCGGCGAGAATACTGATTTTGCTATGACATGTGTATCAGATATTTCTCGTTAAATTTGAAATTTTTGTGCTGGAAAATGCCTAGGAGTATGTTTTGTTTTTGAGCAATTTTTTCTTGAACTTGTATTGTATCGGTTTTTCTCTGGAACGTTCATCGGTTCGTCTGTTGAGCAGGATGCACACGTGGCTCAGCATCCAGCCGTTCGTCTCCTCCCTGGCACGAAAGCTCGCACAGCCCGTCCCGCCTCCTGTCCTCTTCCACCTCCCGCCCCAATCCCCGCTCCTCCTCCCTATCCACCATCACCATGGCCACAGCCACCGCCTCCGTCTCTATCATTGCAACGCCATCCTCCACCTCCCCAGACCTCCGCACTTCCGCCGGCTCCCGCCGCCTCTCCCCGCCCTCTTCACCCGCAGAGCCGCGAGCGTCGGGCTGGGGGCCGCCCGTCTCGGCCCGAAGGCGAGGGCAAGCTCCGTACCGCCACCGCCTCCATTTTTTGAAACCGTAGAAGAGGAGGAGGAGGAGCGTGGGTGGTCGGATGCGGAGGCGGGCTTTAGTGACGAGGCGGAGGAGGGCTTTAGTGACGAGGCGGAGGATGAGCAGGAGTGGGCGGGCGGCAACGGCGCGGCGCGCGGGGAGGACTTGGGCGCGGACGCCGGCGAGGACCTTAGCGGGTTGGCGCGGCAGTGGCCGCGCCCGCGGGAGCTGTTTGTGTGCAACCTCCCGCGCCGCTGCGACGTCCAGGACCTGCTCAAGCTCTTCACGCCCCACGGCACCGTCCTCTCCGTCGAGGTATGCAGTGTGGTATGCGACAGCACCCCCGCAGGATAATCCCCAGTTGAGCTTACGCCTATCCATTTTTTACTGTGAACCAATCAACAACGGGTTCCCACACTACATTAAGATGCTTGTACATGTACAGTACCTTGCAAAATGATGCATCAGCAAGTCCGATACTTCTGAATGGTTGTTCTGAACCGACTTGTACAGTTGTACTTGACACGATAGGCCTGGACACTAGGTGCATCAGCACTGCTGCATTTGCCAATTCCTCTTCATTGGTCAACCAAATGAACTCATTAGACGAACAAAACAAGCAGAATTTTCAATAAAACCATGCTCTTGACATCTTTCTGATGATACTGTATTAGCTGGTACTGTTTGACGGGATGGATGAACTTGGTGCAGATTCTTTTTATGATGGACTAGTATAGTAGTTACATTGTGAGTAGAGGCTGCTTGCTTGTGTGTGTGTACAAATGATGATGTTAACTCTTTGGGTTGCATACAATGCCTTCTAGTCTTTTACCAGGACCTTTTGGTGTGTATTTTGATGCTAACATTACAAGTCATTTATGCCTCGCAGATTTCACGCGATGCTGAGACTGGAATTAGTCGAGGAACTGCTTTTGTTACGATGCGTTCTTTAGCAGAAGCTCGGACAGCCATCAATGCTCTGGATGGACTTGTGAGTCGTTTACACCACATATTCAGATGAAACTTTTACTCCATACTCCCTATCTCACTACTTTTCGAGTTTCTTAACTCATGATGTCATGTGTTTCTCTTGTAGGACTTAGATGGGCGCGAAGTTTTTGTTAAACTAGCATCTGATGTCATTTCCAATAGGAAAAATGTGAACCTGGCCCATATAACACCCATGAAGGACCACATCTTTGAGAGCCCGCACAAGATTTACGTCGGCAACCTTGCGTGGTCTGTTCAGCCCCAAGACTTGAGAGAACTATTTACTCAGTGCGGAACCGTTGTTAGTACAAGGCTGCTGACAGATCGCAAAGGAGGCAGAAATCGAGTGTATGGGTTCCTTTCATTTTCTTCCGCTGAAGAGCTTGAGGCAGCGTTAAAGCTTGACAGAACGGTAAGGCTCAAGTTTTGTGTTTCATTACTTATTTGAGCTGTTCCATGATCTTGTTTTTACAAAATAGTTATTATATATTCCTTCTTGAATTTGATCTGCAGCTCTGGTTACCGCTATTAATCTAGCATACCTAGTGTTCTGAATAATAGAGGAAACTTGGTATGGATTTTGGATGACTTGTACTGATTCCTTTGAAATTCTTGAATTTCGTAAATAGGATATGATGGCCCAGTTCTGAAAACTTCAGCCCTACCATTATTCTTCTAGATAAAGGTTGGATGACTTTTGCCCTCCGGACAAGAAGAGTAATGGTTCTTTGTGGCTTGTCCGGAGGGCGGAGGAGTAATTTTTAGTAAAGCGCTAGTCCTGTTTAGTAGCCCCAGGTTCCAATTTAAGTCCCTGATCTGATCACCTACTGCAAGTAGCCTAGCATTGTACTCTGCTTTTGTGCTCGTCAAGTTGTCCTACCCAATGATATTGCTCCTGTGTTTACGAGCACCTTGGCTTATATCACTTCTTTGCTTCTGCAACAGGTCTTTTTTCGGACGGGATATCCTAGTAAAGGAAGCTATTGTAGAGCGCCAGACACGCTGAGACGTTGAGGGTTACCCTTGAGAAATGCATTTTTGTCTGTGCCTCATTGACCGATTAAGTTCATGCTCCAGGCACAAGCTACACAGCTAACAAACATGACCCCTTATTGTATGTACGAAGCAATTGAGTGGTTCATCGCAAAACAATGAAATATGGTAGCATAAATTAGTGCGACTGCTGCAATTTTGTCATCGCCACCGTGGATGGTGGTGTGAGAAATTCTATGACGAACTGAACTGATATTGTAGCCGTAACTAATACTCTCTGTGGTTGACAATACATGTTGTTTTAGCCTCTTATAATATCTACCAAACAGTAATACTGCCCGTGCTTCACAACACGAATACATGCATTAGCTTCTTCTAATATCTTCCAGGTATTGCTTTTTTTCCTAACCCTTTCATTAACTAGCATGGCATCTCTCTCTGGGTGTGCTTCTGACATAAATTCAGTTAGTCCTTGTGCCCAACAGCCCAAGGCTAAAAGCTTATTGCCAGCTTCTGGCAAAGCAAAACAAATAGACCCTTAAAACAACGGAGAGTAAGTGTTAAGCAAGCAAGCGATCAAGTGTCTTAACAAATCACATGATAAGAAAGTCTCGTGAAGCCCCATCTTACAACACGTTCAGGTTCTGCTCCTGAGGGTACAATCTCAGACCAAAGAACAAGTTGCATATAATTGTGTGGTTCCCATAACAAATCACATGATAAGAAAGTCTCGTGAAGCCCCATCTTACAACACGTTCAGGTTCTGCTCCTGAGGGTACAATCTCAGACCAAAGAACAAGTTGCATATAATTGTGTGGTTCCCATATCTCAAAACAACGGACAAATAACATTGTCAGCTCCTCACTTAGGCCACCAGAGTGCTTGCGGTGGTTGACTCACTGCAGTAGAGCAAGAATTGTCAGCTACAAAGTAGAAGTGTATGATCGTCCAAATAGCATGCCACATAACAGAAAAAAAAAACACAGCACAACACAAGAACTATGGGGAATTGACCCATGTACTGCCTTAAATACAACTAAATGTTGATGACAATTCATTTGGTTACACGGGTCAGATTTTCATAACATTGCTATTGTAATCTCAAGGTGACAAACACTGCACACTAGCACCATGTTTGGCAAGCCTCCAGCTTTCAGTGGCGCATCAGATATGGAGTATGCATGCTAAAATAAAGTGGTTTATGTTGGCCCAAGATCTCTTGTACGAGTGAGCAATCGGCTCACTGGCGCACTCTCGCACTCACACTAGGCTAGAGGTTGAGGAGTTGAGTACAGAGCACACACACATGCAGCACAAGCACCAGCGCTGGCCGGTCGAACTTTGCTTCTGAATGTGGCGAACTGAACTACTCTATTCCATTGCCTTTGGTTAGAATATATACAACTCTACTGTATCTTGCCAGGTACACGGGTGGTTGGCAAGTACTCCAACCCCCAACTACTCATATCTAATCCTAGTACACAGACATGACCTATTGCCATGCTGCTACAGTGACTAGATGGGACAGGGCTGACTTCTGCTGTCCACCCGTGAGTGAGAGAGGGGGCAGCGGCAGATTACAGTTTAAGTCTCTACATTTAGTCCAAAATGGAATACGGCATACTGAAGCATCCTCAACATAGCAAGTCCTCAAACTCATGGAGCTGGGGATAGATCTCTGCCAAATAGAACCCTAAAATGCCAATGAATCTACATGCTTTATGAAATTGCACCAGATGAACATACTACAGCTAGCTATATGAACAATACCGCGTGAAATATAGCTCACAAATGCATTTCAAATAAGAGTGTTCTTTATCAAAGACTACCCAATTCAGCTGCTTCACAATTACTTGCAGCACAAATCCATGGCTCTAATCATCTACAATATCAATCATCGTTTATAATATCGAGTTTCACACACTGAATTGTATTCACATCACGGTTACATGCTTAGGTAGCAAAGAATCAGTAGCATCTGAAACAATCAACAATACTCTGACATAAAGAAATTACTACAATACTACAGCTCCAATGTAGTAATCGCCAGGCACAACAGATCAATGATTACCAAGTCAACTAAGCTAATACCACATACTTCAGTAATCATGCTAGTACCAACAAGCAACAAACTACAATGCATGGGTTCGAGTGACTTACTACTTCCAGGTGGGTGGAAGCTTCTTTGTGCGCTTGTAGTAGCGAGCAAGGCGGTGGATTCTGCTCTCAACAAGAATGAGCCTGAATTTGGAGTCTTTGTCCTTCCTGTTCCTCTCAAGGTGCTTCCTTATCGCCACTGCCTTCTTGATGAGAAAGTACAGATCCTCTGGGATTTCTGGCGCCAGCCCTACAGAAGCACATGAAAACATGAACACATCACAAACCACAAAATACCAACAAGCCGACGAGGTGGAGCTTCTTTAGGGCCACAGTGGGCGATGGCCCCTCCTCATTTTGCAATTCTATAAAGGATGCTTCAGTATCTTAGTATATTTTGCCACCCTCACACTCCCTATACCTCAAGCTCCGCCACTGCCAACAAGTGAATCGAACAATAGGGATGTAATTCTCACCATGAGCCTTAAGGATGCGTAGGATCTTGCTGCCGGTGACGCTCTTGACAAGGGGGATACCGTGCTGGTCACGGAGCAGGACGCCGATCTGCGACGGCATCTGACCCTTCTTCGCCGCCTTAGTGATCATCTCCTCCACCTACCAGACGAGAACCAACGACACACACACACATCAACCAACCAAATCAGCAACCCCAACAATAACGGAAGCAGATGACGCCCGAATGGAATGGGGTCGAGGGAGAGAGGAGAAGGCTCTCACGTCGGAGGACGCGGTCTTGAGCCAGGTCGGCGGCGTCCTCTTGTACGGCAGCGCCGACGACGAGATACCCTTCCTGCGTCACGGAGCCACGCAGCCGCCATTAGCACACAGATTCACTAGACTAGAAGCAATAGCACAAGTGCTCCGATTACGAGGGCGGAAGGGTTACCCGCGGCTGTGCATACGCCCCATTGCGGCGTTGGTGTGTTTGGTTCGAGCGACGGCGAGCTGGCGCTTGCAGCGGCGGCGGCGCGATTGGGATAGAGGCGCGAGTGCGAGTAGAGGGGGACGGATGGAGTTAGGGTTTTGGATCCTATTAAACTAATCTGAGAGAATTTTCATTTGGACCCTTATGTATATTATTATTTGCAGATATGCGCTTATCACTGCAAAAACGCTTCTGGGCCGTGGATCGTCTTCTTCCATTACCCCCACTCCCCCAGCTTGCGCGCGAGACGACTGGGCCGTCCGTCTCCGCCGCCCTAATTCGGCCCCTTCGCCGGCGACGAGCACCGCCAGGTACGCCCTCCCCTTGGCCTTCCCTTCCTGCTGTGCGAAACCGTGCGCGCCCAAACCCTAACTTACTATTCGTATTCGGATCTGAATCCATTTACAAGTGTATATGCTTGTATTATGCCTACTACTTCGTTTGCTTTGCAAAAATTTTCGATGTGTTTGTGACGTGTTCAAACCCTCTGGGGCAAATAATATGTGTTGGAATGTTACTCTGCAAATTTTTGACGCGGTGATCAGAGCTAGCTCCATTGGCCGTTGGGTGCTAATAACCATGCTGCTGCAATTCTTTGTGCAATCAAAGCTGCTGGTTTTACTTCACAGTGTTAACCTTTTGAAGACTGATGATGCCCGACATATTTCTTCAATTCTTTGCTAACTGCAACGACTCACTCATCTCTATCTGTAAATATGTTCTATTTCCTCGTGTGTTCATTTACCCCCATCCATTAATAAAAAAACAAAACAAAAAACAGTCTTCTGTTGTAGCTTTATTGCCAATCACCTCTATATCAACTGATGAAGCTATAGCAGTCTTCTGTTGTATCTGTATTGCCATCACCTCTATATCAACTGAAGCTATGTACCCTCGTTACTTATTTTTATCGCTTTGCGTATATGGATTGTCATTTGTCTGTCATGAGCCTTATACTTCATTTTAGAAAAAAAAATATCCTCTCTATTTTTATCATAAGTATTGTCTTCTTTTTTTATATAGTAGATAACTTTTCTTATTAAATGCCATTTTCAAATAAGACAAGTTATGGAGCGTATAGGGCAATGAAGAAGACCTACATGGTTTTTATTGACTTGAAGAAGACTTATGATAAAATACCAATGAATGTTATGTGGTGGGCTTTAGACAAACATAAAGTCCCAACAAAGTCGTCGGGCTCATTATGGACATGTACAACAATGTTGTGACTAGAGTTTTACAATTGATGGAACATGGATGACTTCCCTTAGGATAGGACTACATCAAGGGTTTTTGAGCCCTTATTTATTTGCCTTAGTGATGGATGAGGTCATAAGGGACATAAAGGGGACATCCCGTGGTGTATGCTTTTCACAGACGATGGTTGCTTTTGATGAAAGCCGTCCAGAGAGTTTTCGTCTGGAGTTATGGCGGGTTACTTTGGAGTCAAAGGTTTTAGACTTTAGAACTAAAAACCCAGGTATATGAGATGTGATTTGGGACTACTACTCGGGAGGAGGAAGATATTAGTTTGGAAGGTCAAGTAGTGCCTAGGAAGGATACCTTTTCGATATTTAGGATCAATGCTATAGAGACGGGGATATTGATGAAGATGTTAGCCATAGAATCAAAGGTGGTGGATGAAGTGGCGGCAAGCATCCGTGTCCTATGTGACAAAAAGGGTACCACGTAAGCTAAAAGGCAAGTTTTATAGGACGGAGATTAGACCTTGTATGTTGTATTGCGCCTCTGAAAAGACGCTCATGTTCAATGAGATAAGTCCATGGAACGATGTTATTCGTTGGATTTGGTCATACAAGAAGGGAAGTTTGAACGATGATATACGTGATAGATTAGGGGTAGCACCAATTGAAGAAAAGCTTGTCCAACACCGTTGAGATGGTTTGGACATGTCCAACGGAGACCTCCAGGGCACAGTATGTAGTGGAATCCTAAGTCGGGAGATAACGTGAAGAGA